ACTATGATGGCTGGGAATGGCAATTTTCTAATTTTATTATTCCTTCTACTGTTAGGATTAGTTTTTCCTTCATATTTATTTATTTAGTAATTATTAGTATGGACTTGTGGATTCTTATTTTTTCAATGAGTTATGATGAATTACTATCATTATTTGTTTTGATGCTTAAATTGTCCCTGACTTGGCCAGTGGAAGTCCCTTGAAGCTGGCATCTTTGTCCTTTCGACATTTTTGAGCAGTCCTTTATTTTTCTGGAATAAGTTGTTCTAGGCTCATCATGTACCTTCACTGCCCCAGACTTAGAATCAGCCATTTTCCCAAGGACTCTGGTTCCTTTTAGTTGAGAATGGAATTTAGAACTAAAGACCTGGATTTTGGTTGTTCTTGTTGCTACTACCCGTCATTGTTCAGTGATTCAATTTCCATCTTGAAGACCTTACATTCCACAATTTAACACTTGTATATGTGAACAAAGATACATATTCAAGGACATTTATTTTTCTCATCACCCTTACTGCTTCCAAATAAAAGAAAGTCATTGCTTCTATTTCCTGTATTACAGACACGTGTTGCTTAATGATGGGGATACATTCTTAGAAATGCATCATTAGGCCGTTTTGCCATTGTCTGAAGATTCTAGAGCGTACTTACACAAACCTAGATGGTATAGCCACCTACACACCTAGGCCATATGGTAGAGCCTATTGCTCCTAAGCCACAAATCTGTACAGCATGAGGCTGTACTGAATACTGAAGACAACTGTAACATAATGGTAAGTATTTGTGTATATAAACATAGAAAAGGTACAGTAAAAATACAGCATTACAGTCTTAGGGGACCACCATCATATATGTGCTCTGTCGTCAACCGAACCATCATTACAGGGTGCCTGACTATACTTCAAAGCCTTCTAACTACTAACTGCCTCCCATTTCCATGACCCCTTATAGTCTCTTTTCACACAGCAGCCAGAATAATAATAATTTTTAAATCTAATAACATTACTCCTATGCTTATAACCCTCCACCCATTAAGAATAAAATGCAAAATTCTTGGGGCCAGGAGTGGTGGCTCACACCTGTAATCCCAGCACTTTGGGAGGCTGAGGTGGTTGGAGCAGGAGGTCAGGAGTTCAAGACCAGTCTGACCAAAAACTCCGTCTTTACTAAAAATACAATTAGCCAGGCATGGTAGTGCGTGCCTATAATGCCAGCTACTTGGGAGGCTGAGGCAGAAGAATCGCTTGAATTCAGGAGGCAGATGTTGCTGTGAGCTGAAATTGCACCATTGTACTCCAAATGGTGACAAAGTGAGACTCTGTCTCAAAAAAATTTTTTTAAAATTCCAAAATTCTTAATACTACTTCATGGCACCACAGGATCTGGTTCACCTCTTCCCACATGAGCTTGGTCACAGGACAAAGACACTTAGCCACAGTGGTCATACCTGGTTTTCTCAAATGACTTGCAAAGGTCTTTATCGTGGCTACACTCAGGTCACCTCTTTGGAGAAGCCTTCTCAATCCCATTTAAACCAGTACCGATCAAGTATCACTATTTGATACTATATCACATACCTATTTGCTTGTCAGTCTCTCCTCCTCTGTTACACCTCTAATGTAAGCTCCAAGAGGGCAGAAACTTATTTGGTTTTGTGCTGTAGCCCCAGTACCTAGAATTCTGACTGGCATTTTGTGGGCCCTCAATGCTTGTCGAGTGAATGAAGATCACTTTCACTCCGTAGTGCTTCTGCACCCACCATGACCTCTGCCTGGCTTTCCCCTCACCCTTCTCTGCATGGTTAGCTTTGCATTCTTAAGATCTCAACTTAAATATCACCTCCTCAGAGAAGCCATCCCCTGATTACCTTATTCTAAAGGAAGTTCTGACACTTATTTTTTAAATCAAAAATAAAGACCAGCACAGCGGCTCACACCTGTAATCCCAGCACTTTGGGAAGGCCAAGGCGGTGGATGACGAGGACAGGAATTTGAGACCAGCCTGGCCAACATGGTGAAACCCCATCTCTACTAAAAATACAAAGATTAGCCTGGCGTGGTGGTGGATGCCTGTAATCCTAGCTACTTGGGAGGCTGAGGCAGGAGAATTGCTTGAACCTGAGAGGCAGAGGTTGCAGTCAGCCAAGATCGCACCATTGCACTCCAGAAGCCTGGGTGACAAGAGTCAAGCTCAGTCTAAGTATATATATACATATACACACACACACACACATACATACATATATGTATAAATACTATGTGCATAGAAAAATGGATTGGACCCCAGTGATCATTAAGGGGTGAGGAAAATCAGAAAAGACTTTAACTTCCTGTGTCACATATTTCTGTATTGCAAACTTTTTTTTTTAGACTAAGTCTTGCTCTGTCACCCAGGCTGGAGTGTAGTGGTGCCATCTTGGCTCACTACAACCTCCCCCTCTCGTGTTCAAGCCATTCTTCTGCCTCAGCCTCCCAAGTGGCTGGGGCTACAGGTGCGTGCCACCATGCCTGGCTAATTTTTGTATTTTTCTTTTTTTTCTTTTTAGCAGACGGGGTTTCACCATATTGGTCAGGCTCATCTTGAATTCCTGACCTCGGGATCCGCCTGCCTCAGCCTCCCAAAGCGCTGGGATTACAGGTGTGAGCCACTGCGCCTGCCAGTGTTTGTTTTATACATAGTTTGCTGGCTGGGTGCAAATGCCATGTAATCCCAGCATTTAAGGAGGCCAAGGTGGGCAGATCACTTGAGGCCAGGAGTTCAACACCACCCTGGCCATCATGGCGAAACCCCATCTCTACTAAAAATACAACAATTAGATGGGCGTGGTGGCACACACCTGTTAATTCCAGCTACTTAGAAGGTTGAGGCAGGAGAATCGCTTGAACCAGGAGGCAGAGGTTGCAGTGAGCTGAGATCATGCCACTGTACTGCAGCCTGGGCAACAGAGTGAGACTCTGCTTCCCAAAAAAAAAAAAAAAAAAAAAAAGACACTAAGCAAATTTGGCTCTGAGCTCCTTGGAAACCAGGGGCCAAAAGAAAAATATGATCAGTAATGAGATCCTTATTGCTTAAAAGATAAATGCAAACCATTGATTAGGAGAAACACCTTTTCCAAGGGCTGAGATTTGAGAGAACTTATCCAAGAAGCTCATAAATAGAGTAGTGCCCAATCAGCTGACCTACAACTAAATAACTCACCTGCGTATACCCAGGTAACTCTTGGTCAGCTACAAATGGAAGTTCAGTAAAAGCAATTCCACAAGGGGCCAAATTTCTACAGCTGGGCCTCAGATCTGGCTAGATTCTGCTTAAAATTGGCTACGTGGCCTAACACTTCAGCAAACTCCTAGAATATTGCAAACCTCAGCCTATTAAGAATTAACAATTAAGGCCAGGTGCAGTGGCTCACGCCTGTAATCCCAGCACTTTGGGAGGCTGAGGCGGGCAGACCACGAGGTCAAGAGATTGAGACCATCCTGGCCAATATGGTGAAACCCCCGTCTCTACTAAAAATACAAAAAAATTAGCTGGGCGTGGTGGCGTGTGCCTATAGTCCCAGCTACCCGGGAGGCTGAGGCAGGAGAATTGCTTGAACCCGGGAGGCAGGAGGTTGCAGTGAGCCGAGATCATGCCATTGCACTCCAGCCTGGTACCTGGCGACAAAGCAAGACTCTGTCTCAAAAAATAAATAAATAAAATTAACGATTATTAGCAAGAATTAGAAGACAAGAAGAGGCATCCATCTCAATGTCCAAGTAGGCTGGGTTATCTTATGCCTCTTTTACTGATGAAGAAACTGAGTCAGAGAGCCTTAAGTTACATAGGTAGAAAATGTCAGAGCCAGCCCTAACACCAGGTCTCAGCCATCCCTTACCTAACCATGCCTACCACACTTCAAAAGTCACCTCTGTGGAGAAGCCTTCTCAATCCCATTTAAAACAGTACCCATCAAGTATCACTATTTGATACTATATCACATACTTACCTATTTGCTTGTCAGTCTCTCCTCCTCTGCATCTCTGTGGGTGGTGGGCCACAGGACCAAGGAGGGTGAGAAGGTGCTGGCCTGCACACTTGGAGGGAGATGGTGAAGACGGGAGCTGGGCCCGGCGAGCAGGCACGGGCGTTCTCCAGAGGACCAGTTCAACTTCACGCCCCTTCACCCTACCTTCTTGTACCCAGGGTGGGAGGTAAGACTCCCGTTAAACAGATAAACAGATGGGGAAATACCACCCCAAAACATAATGATCTCGTAGTGTATACTTGACTTTGCTCATTTATTTACTGGTTTTTTTTTGGGGGGGGGACACCCAGTTTCAGTCACCCAGTATGAAGTGCAGTGGTGCCTTCACGACTCCTTCCAGCCTCGATTTCCTGGGCTCAGGTGATCCTCCCACCTCAGCCTTGTGAGTAGCTAGGACTACAGGCGCAGGCAAACACACCCGGCTAATTTTTGTTTTGTTTGTTTGTTTTTGTAGAGTCGAGGTTTCACCACACTGCCCAAGCTGGTCTCCAACTCCTGAGCTCAAGCGATCCGCCTCCCACAGTGCTGGGATTGCAGGCGCGAGCCACTGGGCCCGGCCAATTTACTTTTCTTACTAAGCCGAGGATCACGGTGGCCCTTCGGCTTGGCAGGAAGGCTGGGGTAGGGGGACAGTGGGAACAGGGGGTGGGCGACGACTCTGATGGAGGGAAAAGAAGAAGGGAAAGTTGGGGCTTACTGTAGGGCAGGCTCCTTAGGCGAAGATGCCGAAGAGGAAGGAGCGAGGCCCAGGCTCGTCTTCCATCCCAAATCCTCCACTTCCCAAGCTGCAAGAAGGAAAGAGGTACAGAACACCCAGAGGTGTCCTTGATTCCATCTTGCCCTCGCCCTTTCCCTACCGTCCAGCAATAAGGCGAGAGAAACCAGTGCAGGAAGGGGGCGGACAGTCATGGGAAAAGCCAAAAAGGCAGGTGAGCGGTGCGCCTGGCTCCCGCGCGCAGGTGAGGGTTCCCTTCGCGGGAAGGAGCCGCGCGCGCATGCACGCGGGCCGGTCGTTAGGCTTGGCCGCGCCTTCAGCTCAGGCCCTTGCTCTTCCTGGGGCGGCCGCGCTCTGCGGCTTCCTGACTTCGGCCGCTGTCGCCGCTGTCGGGCCGGCGCCGCACGCGCCACTCCACGCGGCGTTCGGGCTCGCGCACGTGCGGAGTCGCCTGAAGCAGGAAACTGGCCGCGGCTCTGGGTGACGCGCACGTCGGCGCGCGGGTAGGTGCCATAGGCGCGCCGCAGCTCCCGGCGCACGAAGTCGGGCAGCTGCAGAGGCGGGCCCCGCGCGCGCTCTACGCGCCCCCAGCGTAGCTCGGTGTGCAGGCTGCCGCCCTCGGGCCAGGGCGTCCAGCTTTCCGCCGCAGCAGCTGGCGCCTGTAGCGACGGTCCCGAGATTCCGGCTGCGGGGCCGGGGGGTAGCAGGGCCGCGGCGTAGGCCGAAGGGCAGGCCCACCAGGGCTGTGCGGCCCCGGGCGGCGCGGCGGGGCCGTAGAAGCGGTGGTATTCTCGCGGGGCCGCCCACTCGCCCGTGTGCAGGCTCCCGGGCCGGCTGCGGAAGCTATGGGCCTGGATGGGGGGCAGGAGCAGAGGGGCGGCCAGGTAGGCGCAGGTGAACGGCTGCGGCGGCGGCCAGACGCCTTCCCTGGGCAACAGCCAGCTGTACGCGTACATGGTGGGTCCCCTGGGCGGCTGCTGTTCTTACTGGGGACTCCTCCGGATTCAGACCTGCGGCGGAGGGAGGGGGTGTGCAGACGGGCTTTCTACTTAACCACCTCCCGTCCTTGCGACCCGGTTCCCCAGGACGCCGATTCATGGCTTTGGGGGAACTCATCCCAAATCGGACATTCAGCTCCCCACCTCGCCTTTTGTCCCAAGGTCGGGCAGAGCCCCAAGCTCCCAGCAGACAGTAAGGACTTAGAGCCTTTTCAAGCCCTCGGCCTGGCCTGTCCTTCCCAGTAACTCCCCATTCACTTGCCTCCTTCAGTCTGGGGTAGCCGGCAGGATCCAGAGCGGGCACTTTTTAGCTGTGTTGCTCCGCTCCATGTCCTTCCTCAGCCACTCATCTTGGTTACCAAGCAAAAGGAAACACTCTGAGCTGGCCAGGAGCCACCAGCCTCTGTCTACACCTGGATGAGCTTGCCGGTTGGTCGTAGTGGCCCCAACCTAGAGGCAGAGGCCTGAGGTCAAGGATGTCCTCCCTACAGTATCACTGATAGGCTTTCTAATCCAGTTAGCTCCCAGTCCCTACACACCAACCTCCCAGTGCCTGTAGGTGGATTAGGTTACTCTAACATTTAAGTGAAAATCCTGCACACGAGACACTAAATCGAGTTGCCTGAGAACATCTAACTGCAAGTTGTATCAACTCGAGGAGGGGGGTACTGATATCCTCGCTTTCCATAGCAAGAAGCTACTTGCCTCAAGAGTGGGTGTGTCCAGTGTATTCAGTGACTGGGGCTTATGTGGGTTAAATAACTCACCCCAACTCAGCTGGCCATAGTAAGGGCAAAATTCAACTCCGTGTCTATTTCAAGACTCATGCTCACAATGTTGGTCTTACTGCCCACCCATGCTGGGGCTTCTCACAGACTGTCTCAAAGTCCTCCCACTCTAGAATGTTACATAAGCACTTTAAATTTTTTTTTTTTTTTTTTTTTGAGACAGAGTCTCACTTTGTTGCCTAGGCTGGAGTGTAGTGGTGTGACCTCGGCTCACTGCAACCTCCCAGGTTCAAGTAATTCTCCCACTTCAGCCTCTCGAGTAGCTGGGATTACTGGTGCACCAGCACACCCGGCTAATTTTTTTTTTTTTTTTTTTAATAGAGAAGATGGGGTGTCATCATGTTGGCCAAGCTGGTCTTGAACTCCTGGCCTCAAGTGATCCACCCACCTTGGCCTCCCAAAGTACTGGGATTACAGGCATGAGCCACTGTGCCCGGCCTAATTTTTGTATTTTTAGCAGAGACGGAGTTTCACCATGTTGGCCAGGTTGGTCCCGAACTCCTGACCTCCTTGGCCTCACAAAGGGCTGAGATTAGAGGCTAGAGCCATCGCACCTGGCCACTTTTAATTCTTTTCTTTCTTTCTTTCTTTTTTTTTTTTTTTTTGAGGTGGAGTATCCCTCTGTTACCCAGGCTGGAGTGCAGTGGTGCAATCTCGGCTCATTGTAACCTCCACGTCCCGGGTTCAAGCGATTCTTCTGCCTCAGCCTCCTGAGTAGCTGAGACTACAGGTGTGCACCATCACACCCAGCTACTTTTCGTATTCTTTAGTAGAGACGGGGTTCCACCATATTGGCCAGGCTGGTCTTGAACTCCCAAACCCGGCTAATTTTCCACCATGATCCACTTGTCTTGGCCTCCTAAAGTGCTGGGATTACAGGCATGAGCCACTGCTTTAAATTCCTTTTTTTTTTTTTTGCTTTAAATTCTTAATAGATTACAGGCATGAGCCACTGCTTTAAATTCTTAATAGCTTACAGGCATTAACTACTGCTTTAAATTTTTTTTTTTTCTCTCTCTCACTATGTATAATGTGTGTATCATGCTTTAAATTCTTAATAGCTTACAGGCATGAGCCACTGCTTTAAATTCTTAATAGCTATGTGAAGTGCATAGTGATGCCATTCTCTTAAGGAACTAGAGGCTCAGAGAAGTTACACCACTGTCCTGGGTTCACACAGCCTATAAGTACCACAGTGGGATTTGAACCCAGCCCAACTGATGTCAAAGCCCAGAAGCTATTTGAATGAAGCCAAGAAGATTGCTTCATCCAGATGGGGTGAGCCCTGAGTTCCAGTCCCTTCTGGTGTGGGTTACAACCCCTGTACCTCTTCCTTCTCCAATGTGGAGAGTGGTAGTTATGGATGATTAAAACTGAAACCCTCTCCCAGCTACAGACCGCCACGTTGCCACACTTTCCTTCCCCCTCTCCTGTTGACTCAAGCAGCATCACCAGCAACCCTGACAGAAAGGTTCTCCCGGGATTCTCAGTATCCCTCAAAACCCAGCTACCCTCTGGTGGTGGCCACCGTTTGGTGACTCACCCTGGTGATGTCATGCTGTTTGTGACTGAACCACTGCTCCAAGTCTAATTTGGGCCAGTCTTTTTGAGAGCAGGTGCTAGAGCTGGGCTGTGGATGGAGAAAAGTGGACTGGTTAGGGTTTCATTTGGAATGTAACACTGTCATAGAACCCCAAGTTCAGGCTGGTGTACCTGATGTGCAGGTAAGGCCAGACAGTAAGACACCAGTGCTTGGAGGTAGAGAATGGTTTATTTGATTTGGCCAAAGTGAGAAGGCAGGGGAACAGATCTCTCAAATCCCTCTCAACAGAAAGAAGCAGCAGGGTGGCTTACATCTGTAATCCCAGCACTTTTGGAGGCTGAGGCATGTGGATCACTTGAGCTCAGGAGTTCAAGATCAGCCTGGGCAACATGGTGAAACCCTGTCTCTACCAAAAAAATAAATAACCAGGCATGGTGGCATGTGCCTGCAGTTGCAGCTACTTGGGGCGCTGAGGCAGAAGGATTGCTTGAACCCAGGAGGTCAAGCCTGCAGTGACCTGTGTTCACACCACTGCAGTCCGGCCTGGGTTACAGAGTAAGAGCCTGTCCCAAAAAGCAGCATGGAGTTTTAAGCAACTAAGGAGTGAGGGAGGGGGCCTTTCAGGGAACCCAGACTGTGTTTCCTCGGTCTCAGATAACCCCTTGAACCACCAGACTTCTGGTCATCAGCAGCTGGTCACAACGTCCTTCAAGGCATTCATTCCTTCTGCAGCTTTTTTTCCATGACCCCGAAGTTGTCTTTTCATGCTTGCAGAGAAACAACACATCAGCAGTTTATATTGTGGGAACAATGAATACTGGGCCAAAAGTGAGTGGTTAGCATGTGCAAGCAAGCATGGGCCTGATCAGAATTTTTTTTCTTTTTGACAAGGTCTCATTCTGTTACCCAGGCTGGAGTGTGGTGGCATGACCAGGGCTCACTGCAACCTCAACCTCCTGGGCTCAAGTGATCTTCCTACCTCGGCCTCCTGAGTAGCTGGGACCACAGGTGTGTACCACCATACCTGACTAATTTTTGCAGTTTTTGTAGTGATGAGATCCCACTATGTTGCCAGGCTGGTCTTGAACTCCTGGGCTTAAGTGGTCATCCTGCCTTGGCCTCCCAAAGTACTGGGATTATAGGCTTGAGCCACCACACCTGATCTGTGATCAGAATTTTCTTTCTTTCATTTTTTTTGTTGTTTTTTTTTGAGTCAGAGTTTTGCTCTTGTTGCCCAGGCTGGAGTGCAATGGCACAATCTCAGCTCATGGCAACCTCCACTTCCTGGTTCAAGCAATTCTCCTGCCTCAGCCTCTCAAGTAGCTGGGATTACAGGCATGCACCACTATGCCTGGCTAATTTTGTATTTTTATTAGAGATGGGGTTTCCCTAGGTTGGCCAGGCCGGTCTTGAACTCTTGACCTTGTGATCCACCCCCACCCCCCAGCCTCCCAAAGTTCTGGGATTACAGGCATGATCCACCATACCTGGTCAGAATTTTCATTTTTTAGTCACTAAAAATGTTGGGGAGTACCCCATTCTCCATTATGTGATTAGTTCCCATTGCATGCCTAAATCAAAACATCACATGTACCTTACAAATATATACAAAAAAAACTTTTAAAATTTAAGTATTGATTGCCGAGGAAAAAAATTAAAATGCTGGGGTGCTGAAATCTCAAGGGGCCCATTTCAACACTCCTTAGTGTGGGTAATCCCCTGCATGGGCACTGAGACAGGAGAGCTGTGCAAACCCCAGGCACAATTAGTGCCTGAAGAATATCTTAGTTTATAGTGTTATTACTCAGCTATTTCCTTTGTATAATACTTTATATATAATCATATATTAGTTTATAGAATTAGTGCCTGAAGTATAACTTACTGCTTACATATATCTAGCTTATATAATCATACTTAGTACTTATATCTAACATACTTAGTTCCATATACTCTTTCTATATAGTCATATAGATGTTGTAGTTGGAGCTGTACTGACACGTTTAGTGCTGATTTATATAATCCTTCTATATAACCATATAGTAGTTTGTAGTAGAAGGAATGCCTAGAGCAGTCACAAAGCTGAAGTAGTACATGGAAAAACAGCCAGACCAGGACAAGAACCAAAGACCCAGGCAGTGGCGTCCCTGCCTGAAAGGGCATACGCTGTATGGCAGGCTTGGAGCAAGAGCCTTGTAGTATCTTGCATCTAGTTCCTGTGAAAAGTAGGCCCCAGGCCTGAGATTCCGCAAATAACTGAGGGAGAACCCCTCTGATGTGACTGGGTCACAGCGGCTGTAAACCTTGTCAGCCTTTTCTCACTTCTGTGCTATCTCAGATCATCCTCCCACAAATATCTTAGACAAGAGCACAGTCTGTCAGCTCCCACTGCATTGACTTACAGTATCTTTCTATTAGAAATCCTTTGAAGTCTCCAGATAAATGTTGCGCACGACACCTGTTGCATACAGCCCACCTCCTTGCCTCGGTGACCCCTTTTCTGTACACGACCCTCTACTACTACGCACGGCCCACCTCTTTCCCCAGGTGACATAATGGGGTGGCCCCCTCGCTTGTTACTCATGTGATTGTGTATGCCCTATCACTAAGTCTATAGATGATGACCTCACTTATGACCCTTCCCCCTGTTTGTACCTAATAAATACAGACACTTCTGGAC